CTCTTCCTTTTCTTCCCTTCCCTCCTCCTTTCCTTTCCCTTCCTTTCCTCCTCTCTTCCTTCCCTTCCCTTCCTTTCCTTTCCTCCCCTTTTCCTTTCCTTACCTCTTCCTTTCCCTCTTCCTCCCTTCCCCTCCTCCTTTCCTTTCCTTTCCTCCCCTCTTCCTTCCCTCCACTTTTCCTTCCCTTCCCTCTTCCTTTCCTCCTCCTTTCCTTTCCACTTCCTTTCCTTCCCTTCCCTCTTCCTTTCCTTCCCGCCTCCTTTCCTCCCCCTTCCTTCCCTTCCTTCCCTTTCCTTCCCTTCCCTCCTCCTTTCCTTTCCTTTCCTTTCCTTTCCTTTCCTTTCCTTTCCTCCCCTCTTCCTTTCCTCTCCTCTTCCTTCCCCAACCCATCCCAGATTCTCACAATATAGCTTTGCAATAAACTAGAATTCGCCCATTGGGGTCGCGATTCCAATCTGGCTTACTTGGCCGCAGCCAACCTCGGTCTTGTAAGTCTGAATGTACGGCCCTCCCTCCCTCCCTCCCTGCCTCCTTTACTCCCCGAGAAGCTAGGGAGGGTCCCTTTCCAAGTCTCTTTCTTTGCCCCTTACGCAGCGGAGGGCTAAGCCACCTCTTATCCGGCCGTTCTCTTTGCCTCTGTCTCCCAAGGTCTTTCCCTCATACCGTGGTCTTCCATTCCCCACCTCCAGGATGCGAGAGATCTCCAAAGGATGGTGGTCTTGCCCCCCTCCCCCAGAGGGGCCACCTGTTCTTCCCCAACCCTGAGCATCCTCTTCCCTTGTCAGCAGCAAAGACGGAGGGGAGCACAGCGACCTGACCCGGGTGCCTATCCCTCCCCAGCTGTACAAGTGGTGCGCCCCAGAGGTGATCTTGGAGAGGACGGCAACTTTCAAGTCGGACGTTTACAGTTTTTGCGCCGTCATGCAGGAGGCCTTTACAGGTGCAGCAAAAAGAATTAAACCCTCGTTTTCGTTGGCTTTTCCTTCTTGGTTTTGTACTTTAAAAAAAAAATTAATCGGTGTTTTCCTCTTTAAGGCTAAAGATCGTCTAAGGCAGTGGTCCCCAACCTTTTTTATGCCGCGGCCCGGTACCGGTATCAGCTGGGCGCCGCCATCTTGTTTTGATGAAAAAGTGCTTCTGGTGAGCTCACCGGAAGCACTTTTTCATTAAAACAAGATGGCGGCGCCCAGCGCTTCCAGTGAGCTTTTCCGGGTAGAAATGGCTTTCTACCCGGAAAAGCTCACCAGAAGCACTTTTTCATCAAAACAAGATGGCGGCGCCCAGCAAGCCAGCGGCCCGGTAGGATTTGTTCGGAGGAGGATTTGACCGGTGGTTGGGGACCCCTGGTCTAAGGTAAAGGTTCCCTTTAATGCCTCCAACTTGGCCCCCAATGTCCAGTTATCCTCGGTGGGAGATCAAACTCTTCCAAAAAACAGTCTACGAAGAGCAGAAATGCAGTCCGAACCCAAAGTAAAGATAATTAGAAATAAAACAACAACAACACAGACCACGCTGAAGTAATTAACACGGCAGGCCAGGATGATAAATTGCAGGCTTCCAACAGATAACGCAGCACCCACAGTTGGGAGGACGCCAAAACCCAGATAAGCCTCGACAAAGATAATGCACGCTTTGCTTCCAGCAAGGAGCTGTGTGCAAACCGCCCCACTTATATCCTATTCTCCCAGCTGCAACTAATGAAAGGGATCAGGGCCTTTTTCTCTCCCATAAGCCATGTTGCTCCTTCTCCGTTTCTCCCTGCGTGCCCTAGGGTGAAGAGGGGGGTGGGCCTGGGTCTTCTTCTGAATGCCCAGCCGGGCTGTGCCCTTCCCCCGTTTCTTCCACAGCCACTGGAGCCCCACTCCCACTCCCTGTCAGCTGCTCAATCTCCCCCTCAGAATCAGACTCGAACAAGGGCATGACAGGGTGTATCATAAATACCTATTCTCCAATGAGACACATCCATAGCCAAGAGTCCTCAATCACGTTCTCCAATTAGAAATTTGCGCAGCCGAAACTCCAGTCGCCTAGTTACAATTTTTGGAAGATATAAATGGAATGCACATTGGGTTCCAAACTGCTGCATTGCTCTTTTAAACTCCTTCCCCACCCACCCCTTTCTGTTGGCAACTATAAAATGGGCGTAGAAGATGTTTTTATGAGTTCACCGTGTGTTTTTTTTCCAGACACCATTCCCTGGGAGGGGTTCGACGGTCCGTCCATCAAAGATCGCATCACCTCCGGCCAGTGGTTGGAAGCTGACGCCAGGCTCCCGAAACCTTATTACGACATGGTGAAGACGGGCCTGGAATCCAGGCCCAAGCAGCGCACGATGAACCTGCAAGATATTCGCTACGTTCTAAAGAACGACTTGAAAGTAAAAAGTGGAGGGATTTTAATTTAATTTAAATTTAATTGGTCTTAAAAGTTGCTAAGTTTGGAGAGCCCCGAATTTAAAGGTTTCCATCACGTTCCCCGTTTCCCTTCTTATCCATTCCGTGGGGTACCGCAAGGTTCCGTCTTAGGCCCAGGACTCTTCAATATCTTCATGAACGACTTAGATGAGGGAATAGAAGGGGAACTTACCAAATTTGCAGGTGATACTAAGCTGGCAGGAATAGCTAACACCCAAGAAGATAGGCTCAAGATCCAGGTGGATCTCGACAGACTTACAACACTGGGCCGTATTTAACAAAATGAAATTCAACGTAGAGAAAAGTAAAGTCCTACACTTAGTCAAGAAAAACCAAAAGTACACATATAGACCGGGTGAAACCAGGCTCAATAGTAGTAACTGTGAGAGGGATCTTGGAGTCTTAGTGGACAACCAGCTAAATATGAGCCAGCAGTGTGCAGCAGCAGTCCATTGTCTTCGCCAGTACAACAAAAAGGTTCACCATCAGTGTCCTTTTATATATATATCTATTTCTATTTCTTCTATTTTTTTTCTATATTAAAAAATGGATGTGTGTGTGTGTGTGTGTGTGTGTGTGTGTTGCAGTATAACACTGGAATGCCTCAAGCAATTTCAACCAAATTTGGTACACAGACAACTTACTCTCTGGAAATAAATACTGTTGGGGGTAAGACACCCCTAACATCCCTCAGAGTGACTGTTCTTAAGATGCAGCCTGTTGTGCCTACAAATGGCTTCTACCGTACTGCCTTAAAATGGCTTCTACTGTACAGTGCTGTGGAGTTGCCATGGTCATGGCTTCACAGTACTCCACAAGGGGGCTGTCTCTGGTAACGGAGAAGGTCCAACATTACAAATTACGTTTGTTCTGGGTCGCCAAAATCGGGGCTGCTTCTGTCTAATACAGGATTAGGATAAATAAATACCCAGGCAATGCCGGGTTATTGGCTAGTATAATATAAAGTAAGACAGGATACTCCCAACACCGGAAGTTTTTAAGAAGAGATTGGATAACCATTTGTCTGAAGTGGGGTAGAGCTTCCTGCCTAAGAAGGGAGTTGGACTAGAAGACCTCCAAGGTCCCTTCCAACTCTGTTATTCTATTCTATTAACAGAAAAAAAAACTACGTCCATCAAATTTAAATGTAAAAAATGAATAATGGACCACTATCTGGACAAAGGGTTCTGCTAATCGATTCTTTGTTTTCTCATTTTTTTATTTTTATTTTGCAGGAGTTACTAGAATCTCGCAAACACCGTCCCGGCCAAGAACCAGAGTCTCCCAAGCCTGAAATTCACTCCAATATCAACATCTGCTTGCCTTCTGCCTCGGCTTTCGAAGTGAAGAAGCCAAGATTGCAAGACGAAAAGGCTCACATTGGTCAGTGTCCTCTTTGTGGGTTGAGAGGCTGTGCATAAGGGAAAGGGGGTAAGATCTCTGCTTGGTGAGCTTTCCCCCACTGCCCAGGAATTCTGAAACGGAGGGGTAAATTTGGGGAGGGGGAGAGAGAGCAGAGGTTAGTAGGTGCAGTAGGCTATTTTGAGCTGGAAATTGGCGTCAATTTGCAAAGTCTGGCAACTTTAAGCAACTCAAATATTGTTACGTCGGATGAATCAAGTCGCTTGTTAATTTCTTTTTTCTTTTTTAATTTTTTTATAAACTTTATTAAAGTATTACAGTTTTAAAAACAAATCATATTTAAAAACTTTTGCAATACATTGTGACATCAGCTTTTCCATATTAATTCATTCATATATAAAATATATATACACGTATACACATACATACATATACACATACGTATACATATACATACATATATACATTATATATATATATATATATATATATATATATATATATATATATATATATATATATATATATATATATATATAATATACACATATATATGTGTGTGTGTTTTCTTAAGTTTTTGCGGGTACTTATGTATGGTATTCAGCTTTGTTCGGGTATTTTCCCACGTCATTATAGTTGTGCTTTTAAAGTTGTAGCAACGTTTCGGCAGAATCTCATCTGCCATCATCAGGCTTCTGTATTATGTTCATCTGTTCGTCAGACTTTCACAGCCGTTTCAGTTCAAACAGAAACGGCTTTTTTAATTTAACGAAATTAAATGCCACCTTCAATGAACATTATGACTATGAAAATAAAACACAAACACACATCCTTCACATTCTATACACTGAATTGAAAACCCCTGATATTGCATTAATATTGCACTACACAGTAGAATTCAAAAGAGCTACAGCCCTGGGACAGAAGCTGTTTGTCAGCCTATTTGTCCTTTATTATCCTGTACCGTCTGCCAGATGGTAATAGTTCAAATAAAAAGGGTGCCCAGGATGAGATGGATCTTTGAGGATGTTTTGAACTTTCTTAAGGCAGCGGGAGCTATGAAGCTCTTCCAAAGAGGGGAGAGGGCAACCCAGGATCCTCTGGGCAATGACAGTTAACCCTCTGGAGTGCTGTCCTATCTGCCCCTGTGCAGTTGGCAAACCTTACACAGGTGCAATAAGTTAAAAGTCCTTCTCCACTCCGCAAACCCCCCTCCCTTCTACCACTGATGATGTTCCCTAGTTTGGCAGTGAAATGTCTGCAGGAGAATCGCCAGCTCAGAGGACACCAACAACCCCACCAGTCATTCTTCTCCTCCTCCTCCCACAAGATTTATATACCAATATTAGCTGGGTACCCGTGCTTCGCTGCCAAACAATGTGATCAGGCAAGTTTTGGGGGAGGAAAATAAGGGGAAGAAATGGTGCCTCTGCCTACCAGCATCCATCGGTATTCATCTGGCTAGTGTCCTGTCAGAGTGTGAGAGAGTTGAGGGCTGTTTGGAAACTGGAAGAGTATTTGCTGTGTGAGCAAAAAGGAGACAGCAAGGAGCCTGGGCGTGGCTTACCTCAACTGTTCTGTACTAAAGCTGCTTGGTGTTGTGAAACTGAAACTCCTCTGCTTGTGTTTTGCATTTGGAAGAGGTTTCTTTTCAGGTGGGGAGGGGGAATAGAACTCCTTAGCATCAGAGCATGTTAATAATAATATAGGAAATACGAATGCTCTGATGGTCATTTTGAAAAATCCTTTCTTAGTGAGCCCCTAGAAGCCAAGAGGAACATATGCGCCAAACTTCAAGTTTGTAGGCTTTACAGTTCTGGAGATTTTGTGATGATGTGCGAGTGATACCTCGCTTTTATATATATAGATACTTACCCTGACAGTGTTCGTGAGAATGTTGTTTTCTTCTTGGTGATTAAAAAGAAAGCAAATCCCACTCTGTCCTAGCACTGATGATGCTACCCAGTTGGGTGATTAAACATCTGCAAAAAAACAACAAGGCTCAGAGAGCACCGAGGACCTGATACAAATTTTGTCACACAGCTCCTTTTAAAGGACCACGTCAAAATAAGACAGATCTCACTGGGCTTGTTGAATAAATGCATTTGCTGTGGGATTTTTACCATCAGGGCTCACAGATGGATAGTCCTCAACTTATGCCTATAAATTCCCTAGTTTGCATGATGATGATGATGTTCTGTGCGTAATGTCAGTTGCCCCGTTCTACCCTGCAGCCGCCCCTGCGTGAATCAACCTCTTGTCTCCAGCCAGCCAGCCACACAAAAACCTGTCATTGTCATTTAGATATATCATTTAGATATGATGGTTAAAGTGCCAGACTAGAAAGTGTGAGACTGGGAGTTCTAGTCCTGCTTTGGGCATGAAACCCGGTTGGAGGAGTTTGGGCCAATCACCAGGAGGCTCTGAGTTCTAGTCCCACCTCAGCTATGAAAGCCAGCTGTCTGACTTTAGGCCAATCACTAGGAGACTGGGAGTTCTAGTCCCGCTTTATGCATGAAAACCAGCTGAGTGACTTTGGGCCAATCACCAGGAG